ATTTATGTTTCAAGCCTTCTCTTTAAATGTTTTTTTTTCTATAGACTTGATGGTACTAGGCTTGTGTAAGAATATTAAAGGACTAGTGTGTGGTGTGCATTTTGAGAACTGCCCACCAAAGTTAGAGAAACACTGTTCTATTGGCAAAATCAGTCATCTGTCAACAATTTATTTTTTCTGAATTAGTCCTCTTAAAAGTAATGTTTACTCATTCATTATCATTTTGTACCTAGTAAACCCTGTGTGTGATAGCTGTAAAGTTTAATGCCAATATCATGAAAGGTCTTCAAACCAAAGCAGTAGTGCATCGAGATCCTGTTTTTTTTTTAACACTGTTCTATTGGCAAAATCAGTCATCTGTCAACAATTTATTTTTTCTGAATTAGTCCTCTTAAAAGTAATGTTTACTCATTCATTATCATTTTGTACCTAGTAAACCCTGTGTGTGATAGCTGTAAAGTTTAATGCCAATATCATGAAAGGTCTTCAAACCAAAGCAGTAGTGCATCGAGATCCTGTTTTTTTTTTTTTTTTCTCTAGGTTTTTCTTTGATACTTGTTACTCATACCTCTCACTGGGAAGTCAGTCAGCCTCCTGAGCAGTACTAATGCCAAACTTTTCTTTGCAGAGATGCTGAAGATGCAATTTATGGAAGGAATGGTTATGATTATGGCCAGTGTCGGCTTCGTGTGGAGTTCCCCAGGACTTATGGAGGTCGGGGTGGGTGGCCCCGTGGTGGGAGGAACGGGCCTCCTACAAGAAGATCTGATTTCCGAGTTCTTGTTTCAGGTATGTTCTTTCAAACTGAATGAAACGATGCATGTAAAATACTTAGCCTAGGCTAGCCTCCAAGAAATGTTAGCTGTTACATGGGATGTGGGGCTTTCTCTTCCATAGCCTATGTACACTGACAGCCTGAAGCCCTGCCCTGTCTTGCCAGTGAGGCAGGTACCTTGCAAAGGGAATTGCACTGGTAGTGCAGCCTTAGGAGAACAGAAACTTGATTCTTATAAAGTTTTCCAGTGTTTAAAGGGAAGATGATGGCAAAACCCTTTGAGCTGGAATTCTAAAGATGTTTTCTTTTGGAATGTACCTTGGTATTGGACTTGATAGGAAGATATTCCAGGAGCCAGATCTGAACAATTTATCCAGCCATGGATCCTGAAAAAGGCCAGATTTTGTGATGGTTTTGGACTTATGTAAAACAAAACAAAAAACAACTTGGCATCTTAGAGATTGTATTACAAAGTGTAGAACTAACTGTCTGGTGTTGACAAGTGATGAAATGGTAAGCTCAGAGATTTGTTTATCTTTCAAAATATTAATGCACTGGTAAAGACCTGGGGCCTTTTGCACATTTCAGGGGTGTGTTAGGGCCCTGGTGGAGTGAGTGTATTGAGTGTGGCACCTTTTTAGATGTGAATGTCACACAATCACAGCAGACTCCCATTGGTGCTTAAGAGTGATACTGTTAGTATCTGCCTATCTTGTGTCCCTTCGTAATTTTTTTAACCCCAGAACTGTATTCCCTCCTTCAGGATATCATACATATCTTTTTTTCTCTCCATGCTGCTCTGAAATGCTGCTTAGAAAACTATTAGGAAATGGCTGCAGTCCTGAGCTGTGAGCGGTAAACACAGCCTTTGAGAGCAGGAGCACATTTCCCTTTCATGACATCAGGTAGGGTTGTATGACTCCCGACTAGTTTTAGCGTCTGAATCTTACCTTTTTCCCTACTATATTGAAGAATATTGGTGATCTTTTAAGAGGTACTTTGTCTAGTTTGTCAGTTATTCACACCTACAAAAAAACCCAAACTTTAGATTTCTTGTGTTGTTAACTTTCTGCTACACTTTGGTCATTTTATTGGATGGTTTTAAAATTCCCATGTCCTGGGAGCCCAGTCAGGCAAGAAATCATTGTACTGATAAATTACATAATGGGAAAAATTAGAACTCAAAGTCTTAGGAGTTTGGCATTAATTATGAAGGACAGAGAGAGAGAAGCTATAAATTCTCAGAGATCCTAAACCTATAATAAGATGGACACTTCTTGCTCAGTTGGAAAGGCTTGTTCTGGAAGATTAGGATAAGACCAGCTTCTTAAGGTGGTTTACCACACATACTTTACTGCTCTTCTCTGGTTTCCTGTCCTTGTGATTATGGGACCCCAGGATTTGAAAGTAGTGATTGATGGAGATGGGACCCTAGGTATTGCTGGCCCTTAATAGGGCAGTTAACACGGCTGAAGGATGTGGCCTCTTTTATGTGCCTAGGACTTCCTCCATCAGGCAGCTGGCAGGACCTGAAGGATCACATGCGAGAAGCTGGGGACGTCTGTTATGCAGATGTGCAGAAAGATGGAATGGGGATGGTTGAGTATCTCAGAAAAGAAGATATGGAATATGCCCTGCGTAAGCTGGATGACACCAAATTCCGCTCTCATGAGGTGGGTCCCCACCTTCTGCTGAGCTTATATCCAGACCACTCCACCTGAAGCTGACCTAGCAGAAGTGTTCGCCACTTTATGACCTCATAGTACCATTAAAGATCTATCTTAATGGGAAAAAGCCAAGGAATTCTTCATGCCTAAGCCATGCAGGGTCATGACAGAGAAGTCTGCAGTCTTAGTATTTTTAACCCAGAAAGAATACTGGTGCAGTCTGTCAATGTGGTGAGCTATTCTGTGATAGAACCTCTTTCAAAACTGGCTTAATCTGCAGTGTCCCTCTGTGAACCTAATTATTAATGGCTGTCTCTCCTCTGGGTCTAGTCTGGGCTCTATAAGCCAACCTCATCATCTCAGCCCTTCTAGGTACTGCTGTTGGGGCTGAGTTGTCACTTCACTTTTATTTCCCAAAGTGTATTAATACAGGATCCTTTTAGAAACCTGAGCTACCTTGGCATGTTCTTGTGGTTGATCACCTCACCCTTGGGACTTAGTTCTCGATGTCCTCATTTCAAGAAGGCGGCTGCTGCTTTGGATATCTCAGAATGATTCAAATGGTGATTATCCCTTTGATACCAATGAGACCAGATACTAGACTACCAAATGGACATTATTTTTTTCTGGTTATCCTGTTCTGACTTGCTATGGGGTTTAGGGATGTCTGGGGACATGAATTTCTAGGCCTGTTCTTTCTCTAAGGATTCATTATAATTCCTTAATTTTATGGCTTTGAGGCTGTGTGGTTTAATGCTTTTGCTCAGAATAATCCCTAGGAGCTGAAACAGTACCTGGTCAGTGACGTGGCAAAGCAGAGCTGCAGGGTAAATGCAATTACTGACTTCACCTGGGGAAAAAGCATCTGGCTGCTTTCACCTTAGCATCTTTAGATCTTCCAAGAATGCTAGCTGAGGGCAAAGGGCCTGGAGACAGGCCAGCCTGAACATGTCTCCTGCTGTTTAGCCAAGTTACTTTCAACCCTGGTTCGTCCATATGCAAAAGTCACAATAATGGCTTTATCTAATAAGACTTGCCAGGAAGCTAAATTATGAAGATAACTTATAATATAATAATAATTTATAAGCTTCTAGCCCCGGTCCTGACACCTGGGAGATGCTGAAGGTTAGCTCCTTCCATAGGTCCCCATCAAAAGATGCATATACAAGGTGGCAAGGGATTGAGCTATACATAAGACCTCTGAGATTCTTTCCAGTTCATAGATTCTGGGGGATCAGTGACAGTAATTCAGATGTTAGTAGCTAGTATTTAAGCATTTACTATATATCAAGTGGCCATTTATTATTTGCGTCACCTTGGGCAGATGATAGCATTCAGTTTTCTTCATTCTTGAAATGTGTAGTAAGAGTACCTACCTCAAAGAATTATTGTGAGGGCTTGGTGTGATAATGTTATGCCAGACAAATAATTAGTGCTCAGTACTTAACTATTGTTAAGCAGCCATGCTAGGTGTTGGTATGCTTTATTCTCTAGGGTCTTATTTTTTCCTTTACTCTTTTTGAATTTCAGGGTGAAACTTCCTATATCCGCGTTTATCCAGAGAGAAGCACCAGCTATGGCTACTCACGGTCTCGGTCTGGGTCAAGAGGCCGTGACTCTCCATACCAAAGCAGGGGTTCCCCACACTACTTCTCTCCTTTCAGGCCCTACTGAAACAGGTGATGGGAATTTTTTCTTTATTTTTTAGGTGAACTGAGCTGCTTTGTGCTCAGAATTTACATTCCAGATTGGTGACTTAGTGTCTTAGTAAATTTTTAAAATTTTTTTTTTAAGGAAATAAAACTACATAATTTCTACTAGGGCCATATTAGCAGTGAAACATTTTCAACTGCGGAAATGATGGTTTTGGTTCAGAAACAAGTTGTATATTTTTCACCCCTGATTATGGGAAAAAAAAAAAATCAGTGCTGTGTCTTTGTGGGTTACTCTGCTATGGAGATCAGCAGTTACTGTGACTGAGTCGGCCCATTCTGTTTAGAAATATATTTTAAACGTTTAGTAATTGACATGTGTGGTCGTCCTTGATTAAGTTTATAGTTTTCACTAAACAGGCACACTGATTTAAAAAAAATCACTGAGTTGTAGTAGCAACTTTTACCCATTTGGTAAGGAGCAGGAGTGGATAACTTTATTTGGGGATAAAGCTATTTGCTCTGATAGTGGTAGAACTTCAGTCCCAAGGGAAGGTTCAGAGTTCTCTTAAGTTTAAGACCAAGCTTGTAAATTAAGCTGCTTTAATGGGAAAGTGAGCATTGCAGATAGGGGAAGGGAATAGGAAAGATGAAAAGATTTCTATAAGTGGGCAGCAGCATAAAGATTGGGAAATTCTTAGCCAAAACCAATTTTGGCAGTTTGGTTAGAATAAAAAAATCTCTTAAGTTCTGGTTCTATCACTTTTACTTCTAAGTCTGTCTCATTTATCCTTGGTATCTGAGCTTTAAAAAAAACAAAACGAAAAAACAAAAACCCCCACCATCTAGGATTCTGCTCAATTCAATAATCATGGGGGGTGGTTTACTTTGTCCCAGGCCGGGGGCTATTTTTTCAAAACCACTTTATTGAACTATGGTTGACATGTAAAAAGCTATAGTTATTTAATGTATACAGCTCAATGAGTTTGGTGTTAAGTATACATCCATGAAACCATCAAGGCCTTAAACATACCTATCCCATCCCTACTCCTTTATGTGGTAAGAACATTTAACATAAGATCTTCCCTGTTAGCACATTTTTAAACATACAATAAATATTGTTAGCTATCCCAAGACTGCTTTTATGATAGGTTCTTTTCAGAAAGAGAAACTGTAGGTGTGGCTAATGTATCCCTTTTGCATATAATCGCTTTGTGAGATGGTAGATGGTTCTAGGTTAGGAGTTCCCAGGCTGTGGTCTACTTTGCATACTCTTCAGAACTTAGCACAAAGTTAGCCCTCTGTTCAGAACGAAATGGGTACCCAGGGACAAATTCAAGTGAGTTCAGTAAAGATAAAAGGCTGATTAGGTCAATGGAAACAGCAACTAAAAAAGCTGTCATGTAGTGATCGGCTGCAATGTCTAAATAGAAAAATTCACTGAAGTGCAGTTTGGTAGACAGTCTTTTTGGGAGGAGAAAAAGAGGGATAATGCCTTCTGAACTAAACAGCCTGTGAGTAAATACATGATCTATTTCCTTGGAAATCGACAATACCTTTTATTTCTATTAGCATCAGGAATCATTGCCTTGTTTTGGCTAGATCTTTCTCAATTCTGTCTTCAGAAGAGTTAGTTACTGCAAAAATACTTAACCAACAATTTTTTTTTTTCAGATTACTGAAGGAAGTAGAAACAGTGTTCATAACAAAAATACTATCGTGCTTCCATGTGTTCATGGGGTACCCCTTTCCCAGAATAGCTACTCAGCCATGTGAGAAGGGCTCTTATTTATCCAGCTTTGGCAAAGAGATATTACCTGTTTGAAAACAATAACAAAAAAAATGTTATAGCTGAGTCTGCTTCCCAGCGGCTACTGAGCTTAACATCACTTAGTTTATCATGGAAAATAAGCAATGGAAATAAGTATAGCTACTATTCTGTTTTTCTAACTATGAGTATCTGAAAGAATCAGTTATAAGTGAAGCCTAATTAATGTACTTTTCAATAGGGAGCCAAAACAGGTTAATCAGTCATTTATATGCATATAGGAGTGGAAGGAAAGACTATGACTGTGAACTCACTTTGTCCCATAAGCAAAGTCTGACATCAGGTTCTATTTAGAAATAGCATGTGATCAATGAGTACGTCTGCTGAAACAGTGACATCAGGCTCTGAGATAGACTATAAAATCTAACTGAGGTGGTTTAGTGAATCAGAGACATGGTTATGAGTTGAGTTCACAAATTTTTTAGCTTTCCTTCCCATCCTTGCTTCAATCAGCTTTCCTTTAACTGGTTGGTCTTGGTCAAAGAACTCCTGAGCTGGAGGGCTGATGTTTGTCTCTGGAGACTGCTCCAAATGGTTGTCCTCTGAAGGGCTCTCCTGAACTTGAAGTTGGCACTTGGAAATCTGTCTCTGTGAGTGCTTAGGCTAGTCCCATTCCCAAATATCTAGAGGGGTGCAGAAGCTCTGAACACCCACCTATCTGCAGATGAGATGATAACAGTTCAACTCACCCAAAGTTCTGGATTTTATTATTGGTCCAGAGTTATTTTAAAGCTTCCATTTAAAATAGTTGCAATGAGGTTTAAAGATGCAAATCTCCACACCAGGGGTTGCAAACTGATGGCTCGCAGGATGCATCTGGCTTGCAGGTATGTTTTCTTTGCATGGTCTTTTATTTTTTTTAAATTTTGAATTAGTTGCCAATACTTAAAATTTGGTAAATATCACACGAAATGCCAGACATCCAGGTTCTCTGGAAAAATAGGCTCACATTCCTGTCTGGCACTGAATGAGAAAAGAAATGCCAGCTGCCACTTTCGGCAGAGCTAGAGTTCCAGATTTGCCACTGTACATACCGCTCCCCGCCCCAGTTCTGTTTTGCTCATTCCTGTCACCAGCTGGCCCCTAAAGGTGAGCATGACTCCTGGACTCTACTGCCACCGTAATGCCACCTATATGCACTTTATACTTTTAAAAAATTGTTAATATTTTTTCATTTATTTCCTGTTTTGATATAATTAATATATAACACTGTATAAGTTTAAGGTGTATAACATAATGGATATATATATATATATATCAAAATTACAGTAATATACCAGTTAACATTCATCATCTCACATACTTAGTTATTTCCCTTGTGGTGAGAACTTTTAAGATCTCTTAGCAGCCTTCACACATACCATACAATATTGTTAACTAGTCATCATATTGTACATCACATCCCCAGAACTTAACTTATAAGTGGAAATGCGTTTTGACCACCTTTACCCAATTCCCACTTTATGCTTTTTAAAGTGCTTTCACATAGCAAATTTGGGCCTCACAGTTCCTACTACATTCTCAGTTCACTGCGGGACAGTCTGTTCGGCCACTTTGGGCAACACATACCTGGGGGGGCCACAAAATACTCCTCCACAACTCGACGGGAGTTTTGTAGTAGTTCTTCAGCACAGTTGCCTTCTACCACATTGTCGGATCTCAAGTATAGACATCTACAAAAACAGAGCTTAAGGTTACCTTCTCAGAGAACAGGGCTTATAGGGGATGGGTGGAGAGGGTCAAGAATTGAGAAAACAAGGGAGCAGCATATACTTGAGTTATGGTCACTGCTGAAAGGTGGAGAAGCTATGGTCAACAGTAGCCTAAAGGACAACTTATAGTTTATAGATTCTCCCAACAACCCTCTGAGGTAAGTGGTCATTATTTCTGAGGATCGATACATTTAATAAATATTTTTGGATGATTACTATGGGTAAGCTGCTTTTCATGGAAATGGGTAATTAAAAGCAATTATAGTACAATGTGTTAACTCTTAACAGGTTAAGTACAGTTTGTCAAGGGAGTAGAAAGGGCACCTGACCCAGCTGGGTGAGGAATAAATACTCAGAATAGGTGATGTCACTGCCAAACAATGGGCGGGGCAGGGGGGGGGAACTAGATTGGGAGGATGGGAAATGGACTTATGGCAGGTAACTTGCTCAAGAGTGGTTATAAGTGACTTAAAGATGCTAGCTCCTAAGTGACAGGACTGGGACTTCAGCCCAGTTCTGGTACTCTGAGTGCCTTTTTAACTACAGCCACCTTACAAGATGTACCTCTATGCCTAGTGGCTTCATTAAAGTGCCTTCATTTGTCCAGATGGCAAACTAGTGAAATGAAATAGGAGCTGAATATATCTATGAGGCGTCACTATTTCGAGGTTTAAAAGTGCATGACAGGAGGCCTGCTTTCAGATACTTGGATTCAAAAATAAATGTTCAGTCACTGATAGAGGAGCAGCCAAGATCTTTCTGCTTTGAGCCAAACCTAATGGGACAAAGGGATGTGACATGAACATCTGGGAGGGAAGGGCTAGTTGTTTCTTTTGTGGTATCCAGCCTAAGACTAGACACAATAAACACTTATTGACAGTATGAAGAGTGGAGAGCTGGAGTTCATTCTAGGATCTGGTACTGTCTTAACTGTGTGGCCTTGAACAAGTGTGATCTTTCCAGACCTTAAATTTCTTGCTAAAAAAGTGAACGTTGTATAAGTTGTGATTTTTTGTTACCCATACAACAATTATGCGTTCATTTAAGAAAACTTGGAGAACAAAAATAAAAATCATCCATAAAGGTGACCCTTGGACTTTCTGGAGTTTATATTTCTGTCGGGCAGTATAACAAAATGGCGAAGAGCTTGGGATCCTAAATCACAGCTGAATTCACACCCAGTGATGAGTGCTTTTTTCACCACAACCACCTTCACGTGGCATGTATGCAATTACTTATGGGTCTCCTTATTTGTAGAAGGCTTCTAGAATTGTTGGGGAGACTAAATGAAATGATGTTACGAAAGATCTAATAATGCTGGGCTGCATTCACGTATCAATAAAGATCTAATAATGCTGGGCTGCATTCACGTATCAATAAGTGGGTACTGAATAATACCTGCTTCTTTCAGAAAGTGCACCCCAAGTACACCTCAGTCCCCAGAGTATAAGGGCACTTAACCTGCCTAGTCCTTACAGACCAGAGACTAATTGTTCCTGGGTGCTTGGAGATTTTGACAAAGACTCTACTACCGCCAACAGGTAGTTAAAAGCTACTGCTTCCCAACAGTTGATCTAATGGCAGTTGACTTATTCACTCCGGAATCGGGTTTCCTATGTTAAGTGACATTGCCAGAAAAACAGTTCACCCTTTCAAATATCACACATTTCCACCTAATTACTATTTATGATGAAGTTGTTTCTAGAATAAATCCACACCTCCCTATTTTTGTAATTGCAGGCTTCTGAACCCAGGGTCTCTGAGGGTGGTGCACCAAGCAGACCCATCACTTGGCAAGTCGCTTAACTTTTCTTGACCTCGGAATCATGCATGAAACATCCAGCAGGAACTGATGAGCTCTTTAGGTGTGTCAATTCCTGATTGACTAAATGCCTGCCTCAGCACCTTTCTTGGCCTGGGTTACACAAGAGAATTTAGCCCAAATACTGTGACATTCATATTGATAATAAGTCATCTTCTATATATGTGGACTAATATAAATTATGACCTACCCTTGGGAGAATTGAAGAGTCCCTTGGATCTTTCTCTGTTCTGGTTCAGATGAAAAACCTTGGTTGAGAAAGGCTTCAACTGTGAACTAGAAATCCCTGCCTCTAAAGCTCATAGACAGGCATTTAAACCAATAATTGTGGGAAATGCAAATAAAAAGCATTTAATGGAAAGCAGTATAGCAGCATGCAGGAAGAAGTGCCTCTGCGGCTCTTGGACTGACCAATGGGACAGTTCTACTGCTGCTTTAGTTTCTGCTCCTTCCCTGGTATCGGGTTGCTATGAGTCATTTCTCTGGGCACCACTCTACTTCCATCATCTACAAATCTCTTCCCTCCTAGTTTTCTAGTTTGATGCAGGCTGATATGCCATGGGATTTCTATTAGCCAGTCAGGGCTTTTACAGCGAGTGTGGCTATCACCTAAAACCATTTAACATTTGTCTTAACTGGGTTCTGTTTCACATGTCAGTTAAGGCAGTGTGTTCAAAATGTGAAAGTCCTACAAATGTCACATCTCTAAATTGGAATCATTAACCCGAACTGGTCTCCAAATTTATGACAAGATTGCAAATCACTGAATACCAAGTCACTATTCCAGCAACCAAATACAGATCCCTCATCTTTTTCACAGACGCTTCCCTGAATAATAGTTGCATTTATTTAGTTATCCTCTATATGTATAACTTAGGAAATTCTGACTCTTTGTGTTTCTATTCCCTACTTTCCCAAAGATATTAATAAAGAACAGTCAACAAACATTTACTTGATATCTGCTCAGTGCTAGAAACTGAGAACATGAGCAATAACAGACATGCTCCCTGGAACATGGATGAGTAGGAGGAGAGGGGCAGAGAATCAAATATTCAAATAGTTGTGTAAAATTATAGCTCTACTGAATACCAGGAGAGAGCCACAGGTCCTGAAAGGGAACCCGATTCAATAGAGAAGAATGAAAACTTCCTTGAAGAAATGGCAGTTGAAATTTGAAGAAATTAGGCAGAAAAGAGTGGATGGGATGAAGTGCAGGTAAAGGCAAGGGCTAAGAATTCTAAGAAAAAAGGGAGACCTTCAGGAATTGAAAGTTACAGCAAGTTAAAGCACTGTTGGAGTGGTGGGCAAGACCTAGATTAAATGATGCCCTAAGGTTATGGTGAAGCTTTTGTCTTTATCCTAAAGAGCACTGGAAAGCCACCTGAAGGGTTTGGGTAGGAGAAAGACATCAGATTTGTTTTTAAATGCTTGAAACTTTGGGCAAATTGGTTAACCTCTCTAGACTTAAGCATCAGATGATGACACAAAGGATCTGATGGAATCAAAGACAAGCTGAGAATGGGAGGCTAGCAAGCACTTTACACAAAGATTATGGTTACAGATAGGCCTGGCTCTATTGGCGCTAATAGCAGCTAACCTTTTTTGCTCCCACCTGTACTAGTTTTTTTTTTTTTTTTTAATTCCATCAAGAAAGGCTAGGGCAGAGTTGTAGATTGCCATATCTTTATGAGCTGTATACCCATCCTAATTAAAAAGCTGCGGTCCCAAACAGCAAAAGTCTGCTTTTCAAAAAAGGATTTTATTTGAAAATGCATTGATTTAGTAACAATTGGTAGAGGTGGGTAGAGGCTGTGTCCTTTTAGTATTCACCAGCTAGTTTGTTAGACTCGCCCCTCCCTATTGCATTGCACTACACTATTGTGTTGTTATTCTGCCCCTTTAGGTATTTGTGTTCTTGGCCCTTGATATAAAATGAAAAGTCAGAACTCCTCTCTGCATTCCCACTTAACAGTTTCTAAGTTTCTTGCCTTCTCAGGGAACAAAACAAAACTTAATGCATACACCAGAATATATAAAATAGATTACACATAAAGCATCAATAATACAGAATGTTCTGAACTTTTCCTTTTTTATTAAATATATCTTGCATACCTTTCCATACCAGCATACATAGTTACTTGTTTCATTAGTTTTAACAACTGCCGAATATCCATTATATGATAAGTATTTAGCAATGAAGGACACTTAGGTTGTCTCTGGGTGGTTTTTGTTTTTGTATTATGAACAGATTTGCATACCCTGGACACTTGTGCATACATCTTTATGTACTTTAACAAATATTTCCATAGGGAACCACTATGTCAGAAAATACATTTAAAATTTTGAGACAGGAATCCAACAGTAAGCAAGTCAGACATGACCTCACATTCTAATAACAAGAGAAAACCAACAGGATAAGGAGTTAGTGAATGGAAGGGGAGAGGGGATTGGGAGTGGTCTGGAGAGATCCTTCGGAGATGAGCCAAAGAGACAGACTGTCCAAGAAAAAGAGAAAAGCAAGTGCAAAGACCTTAGAGAAGGAACAAATTTGGCATGTTGGAAAAACAATAAGGAAGCCGACGTGGCTGGACTGAATAGAAGAGTATGTCCGCGGCGGGGAGGGCAGGGGCTCTGGGAAGTAGAGCCTCAGAAGGTGATGATGAATCGCAAGTAGTCCGGATTTTGTTCCTAGTTAAACTGGCAGGCTTTGAGGATTTTAAACGGGAGAGGATCCAATATGAACAAGGAGAAAGAATGAAACCACTCACCCGCGGGGTGACCGTGGGCAAGTTCCTGCATCTCGCCTAAGGCTATCTCTCCCTCTGAGAAGCGAGACACTATCTTAAATGGCCGCGAAGGCGCCAGTCAAGGGTTGGGGGCCGCAGCCGAGTTTACCTGTCCTCCAGTACTGAGTCCATGGGCTCCACCCCGTCCGTGTCCACGGCGCGCAGCTGGTCGGCAAAGGCGATGGCTTTCTCCAAACCTTCCACGGCCTCTTGGCTGCCGAAGCTCACAAGCGATAGACGCTCCAGGTGTTCGATAACCTCGGCGGTGAGCCGGCCACTTCCCTGGGAGGCGGGGCGGGCGAATGAGACGGAGGTTTCGGGTCACCCGCTCAGACCGCCCCCCGCTCGCCTCCCCCAGGCTTTACCTGAGGACCTGCCTGGGAGGTGAAGCCCCGGCTCCCGCCCACAGAGGCCCGCAGGCCTAGCCACACAGCCCGAGCCCACATTTGTCCTCTTCCCAGCCGCCGTAGTGAGCCCTCATATAAAGCCGAGCGACGCGCCTAAGAGTGATGACATCAGAGTGCGCCGCCAGTGCCGCCGCCATGAACAGCGTAGGGGAGGGATGCACCGACATGAAGCGTGAGTATGACCAGTGCTTCAATCGCTGGTTCGCCGAGAAGTTCCTCAAGGGGGACAGCTCTGGGGATCCCTGCACTGACCTCTTCAAGCGCTACCAGCAGTGCGTTCAGGTGAGCTGCGACCCTCGCCTCTACCCCCAGGCCCAGCACACTCTCTGCTGTGTCCCCGAACACACGCCTCGTATTTTGCGGGGGGTTTGGGACGGGGAGGGTGAAGAAAAACCTCAGTGAGGCCAAGCGGCATTCTTGTCCCCTACCGTCATCACCAAGGCCGCCTGGTGTTTCTCCAAATGACAAATATTTTTGTAGTGTTTTACTTTTTAGGGAGCACAGTAACACTTTTTTGGTTCGCTTAGTGCTCATCTCGAACTTGCAAAGTGGGTGTTCTTTTATTTTAAAAAATGGAACACTCCTGCCCAGAAATAGGACGTGACTAGGCCAAGTTTGCTAGAATCAAGTTGTAGCAGTGGTGCACTTTCCCACTTTTGTTCTGGGGTGAGGCTGGATGCTAGCCTCTCTGGCCTTTTAGGTATTTTGGAGGGTTTCATTCTGCTGCTATAATCCCTTCGTTGGTCTGTTTTCTCTACCAGCTAGGAAGTTTTCATTCCAGCGCAATTAATGTGAAACTACTTTGAAATGTAAGAACAGCAATTGGGCAAGACACTCCCAAGTAGTAAATTTAAAACATCCTTAGGGTAATAACATTTGTTGCTGTCTTTGTCCCATTTGCAGACTGGAAAAATGAGGCTTGCTTTAAGTCACAAAGCTAGTAAGCTTCATAGTGACCTTTATAATGTGTTTTCTCCACCTATCAGAAAGCAATAAAGGAGAAGGAGATTCCCATTGAAGGACTGGAGTTCATGGGCCATGGCAAAGAAAAACCTGAAAGTTCTTCTTGACCTTGACAGTCACCTTGAAAATGGACTCGTCAAATCAGGAAATTGAACACTCTGGATTTTGTCAATTAAGGTTGTGAAGATAGCCATCGATTTAATGAGGAGTTTAGGGGAGAGCTGTATTATTTTCTCCTCCACTTGTAAAAGATGATGAACATCACTCTTTAGGATGATTTCTCACTTGCTCTGGCATCTTGCAGGAACTTAATGTGCTAAAACTGAATTTCTTGGGATTATGGTTGCAAGACTTCGTCTGGGATCAGCTTTAAATATAACTTGTGTGTAAATACTGATAAACCTGTCAGGATGATCAGGGTTGCCTGACCTCTTGAGTTATGCTGCAAAGGACATTAGGTACACTGTACTAGGGTCATTGTTCATGGAAGCAATTGGTTAGGACCTCTTTTCTCTCAGAGAGCTAATAATGCTCTGAAAAGGGATCCCAGAAAAACGGTTTCAATCAACGCTTGGGAGGATATTTTTATTTTTAAATAGTAACTTCAGTGTTAAGATTGCTGGTGGACTGGGTTAGCTAACAGGAAGCCTTTAACAGACAGTTCCTTGCCTTAACAAGAGGTGTCAGATCTCAGATTAAGACGTGAAAGCTTCAAGAACGTTAAGAGTGAACACTATTTCAGAGCTTACAGTGTATTTCAGTAATTAAGATCCTTGGAGTACGCTATGGAAGAAGATCCTAAATTGCAAAGATTTGCTGTTGCTTGCTTTCAACCCGAGTCGATGAATTAAGTCAACCTATATATCATCAAAATGCTGTATCTGGTTAAATGGGGGGAGCAAAAGAGCTTGCTTTATTTGCCTTGTTTACCCACCCTGTCCTGTAATGTCTGTAATCATGAAGATAGAATAAATTGTATCATTTAGTTTCTAGAATTATTTGCCCCTGGTACTCTACTTTATAGAACAACTATTACCCTGTTACCCCACATATCCTATATATATACTGGGGAGAGTTTTCTGTTTTATAATTTAAAGGTGAAAAAGTGAAGATTTATCTAAGCAAGGCAATATGGTATAATAAGAAACTTCACTGGCTTCTAATACTTCTACAGTAGGCTACACAAATATCTTTAAATGTTTATATAACGACAAAAAGTCAGGATCAGGTGAGTACTTACATACTCTAGAATGTCACATAGTTATCATAACTGCGCATCTTGAGTAATTTGATGCAATTTACTATATGTGAAATTTGATTTACAGAAGGCCTAAATTCTATTATCTTCTCTTCACTTTACCAATTACTACTTCACATTTAATGTGACCAGTCCTTAATGTCATTTCAAAACATTCCGCATTTATATTTTGACTGTTTAAAGTCTATTCTACAAGGATTATGAGATATTTGGAACTCAGCTGAAGGAAGCCAGGTAGCAAGCTGAACTCGGACTGGCCACAGGCACAAAAGCTCTAGGGTAGTGCAGGCTGTGGTTAGATCACAAAATGGCAAAGCTAGCAGGGATCCTTTTTTCCTTACTGTAAATGGTTTTCACACCCTGTGTTTCTATATGCCTGACTTTTGCAGTACGAGTTTACTACATGTGCTTATACCAAAACTTTGTAGCTTCTTGACTTACCACACAACTGTCTGGTTGAGCCTTGAGAATTAAACCAGGTCCAAGCCAACCATGTTTTTGTATTGTAATTGCTACTGAGAATAATTTTTCTAATTGTTCCTTATGCTATTTTGACTTCATCCTCCAACTATTTCAACTACTTCAAAGATACTGCCTTTATTTCTCCAAGGGTTTCTGACCCATCCTTCAGGATGCCGAGAAATGACCCCAACGTAAGAACTTGACACCCACCTTCAGAGAAAATGATATGACTATAAAAAATGCTGGTGGTGGGATAGGAGAAAGCGAGGACACAGAGGAAGCACTTCCTCCAGAGAATCACAGATACCTCTTTCAAGTGTAAACTGTGGCCATTCTGCTGGTCAATGTCTCTGCCATTCAAAGTTTGTCAGAACCCTTGATACTTAACTAGCTCTACCCTCTTTGCTTTACACACACCAGGCATAAGAAACCAAGGATAAGGCCTGTTATAAACACTGTTATTCAAAGGCCTGAACTAGACCTAAAAGCAAATAATATTAATGCTAATTTCTGAGAGAAAAACACCAAAGAATGCAACTCTCAGCTCATGACCAATCTAAGTTATTTATTTAAGCCATCTCTTGCCATAAGCAAAAGGATGGAAGATAAGTATACTGGTCATCATTTGATACAGGAAAAGGTCAGCTTAAGGTCCCATACACTTTTCTGGTCCGTGTGCAGAGTATAATGGTCCAAACCAGTGCTGTGGTCCCCACTGGGTAGTGGTCCAGGTTCTCTTCATTCATCCTCATAGCCAGTCGGAAGTGGATTCACTTGAGGATTATGGAATAGAGTATGGTCACCATCTCCCCAAGGAAAACGCTGTGGAGTGAAAATGTGAATTAGGATATTCCAGAAAACAGTTCAGAAACAACACTGCCATGAACTGCTTAAAATAGGTAGGTTGTTGGACACGGACAATAGATTAGTGGTTACCAGAGTGGGGAAGGGGGGAAGCAGATGGGGTAAAAGGGGTCAAATATGTGGTGACAGAAATCTAACTATGGGTGGTGAACACACTGTGTGTGACAACACTGCCATGAACTGCTTAAAATAGGTAGGTGGTTGGACACGGACAATAGATTAGTGGTTACCAGAGTGGGGAAGGGGGGAAGCAGATGGGGTAAAAGGGGTCAAATATGTGGTGACAGAAATCTAACTATGGGTGGTGAACACACTGTGTGTGTACTGCTAAAAGAAATCTAACTATGGGTGGTGAACACACAATGTGTGTGTACTGCTAAATTGTACACCTGAAACTTACTGGATTTTGTTAACGTCACCATACATAATAAAATAAATAATAAAAAACTAAAAATAAAAAAAGTAGGCTGACAGATAATACATAAAAACAAAATGGAAATTAGTCCTGTAACTACTGGCATATTTTGGCCTTCCTATAATTTAAGATCTTAAAACTTCCAGGAGAGCCCTTAAACAGACAAAGGGAAAAGAAAGCTCAAGTTCATTACTCATAAGCCTTGCCCAGTATATCAGTGTTGTGTTTATGAAAGTGTAATCCTCAAATTACCAGGATCAGAATGGCAGAGCTGGGTATGGGGGAGAAGATGCTCATTTAAATGCAGATTCCTGGGCTCCATTCCAGACCTGGAACAAATTTCTGGATTCAAAACGCAACCTACTCTCAATTACTCTGCATGCTACCTTTGAAAAGCATTGCTCTAGGGCAGTGATTTCCAACCCAGGATAATTCTGCTACTTCAGGGACACTGGGCAGGCAATATCTGGAGACATCTGGGGGAGAATGGGGTACTACTGGCATCTAGTGAGTAGAGGTCAAGGATGCTGCTAAACAGTCTACAACTCACAAAACAGCCTTCCTCCACTCCCACCCCTACAATTATCCATGCTCCAAATATCAATAGTACTGAGGTTGAAAAGCCTTGCTGTATGGCTGCTAACTCTACCGTACAAGGGTGGGAGTGGGGCTCAAAAACTCAAAAATCCTTTCTGAATCTGAGAATCTAGCTTAAATGTCTATGAGGCCACTCCAACCTGGGCTAAATGATGTAACAATTATTAAAGAACCACAAGAAGCTCTCTTTAAGAGTACTCACAGCTAACAATTGAAAACATGATTATAGTATATCTACATCAACAGCCAGAAGAGGAAATAGTTGAGAAGATAACTAGCATTGAGGTGGGGCATAGAAGCTGCCAGTTGCTTCGTTATGCAGCTAAAACCTGACAGATGCCCAGGTCCCATGAAGGTGAATCACCTTCCAACTCTGTCAATCTAAAAGTTTCCCAAACCTCCAAGTTTTATACAACCGACAACTGTTTCAGGATCAGACAAAAGGTGCGATGAATCATAGGAAAGGAAAACTAAAGGGCACTTACTGTGTATTTTTGAAACGGAGATGTGACCTTCCCCGCCCCACCCCCCCACCATCTCGGCTTCCCTTCCGTAAAGCCGGAGAAAATAAAAACTGGTGATGTTAAATGAAAAAATGTATACGCCCGGCATCCACGCTTTTAGAGAATGAAACACCTGGACAAGGGCATTTAGAATGAAAAGAGAACAGACACTCCAAGAGACTGCAAGGGCGTACCTTGGACCTGATGCGGAGATGCGGGTAGGCGATGAACTCGGGTCTCTCGTGCTCCCCGTGATGCGACTTCAGGAAGACGTTCAGCATGCTCACTCCCACCCCGGGGAGCGCGACGAAGTAGGTGAGGGCCTTCCACATGCGAGCTGCGGAGGGGTAGGACGGCTCAGACCTGGCGGGGCACGCCGAAGTCTCATCCCCCTCCCCTAAGGCCTCAAGCCAAGGTCACAGTCCCGCGTCGCCTCTCTGGAGTCGGGCAGAGGCCCGCCCCGCCGACCGCAGCCCCAGTACCTGAGCCCTCCTCGCCATGGGCGCCACTCGACATGGGCCGCGCCAGCCGTGGCCGGAACCGACCTAGCAGCCCAGAAATCCGGGACCCCGCCGCTGCCGCCGCCATTTTTTTTTATTTTTTAACCAGGACCCCCGCAGCGCCGGAAGCGACAGCAGGAAGATGGGCTGTGGAGGCGGGACCACAACCTCAAAGGAAGTTCCTATTGGGCGGCGCCTTTCAACCCAAGGAGCCTGCGCACTCTCCTCCGGACCGACCTTGTCCTTGTCAAAAAGCTCGGAACCACGGAGCTGGAGAGAGCATGCGCTCTGTACCTCGCTTGTGCACACCCCTCTTCCTGTCGTTTCCACTCTGGTGAGGCTCAGCGCAAAAGAAAGTCCTGTGGAGTGAACCCTGGCATTGGGAATCGCTCCCTTCGTTGGAGTGGACAGCAAGGGGAGGTTCCGAACACAAACCACCCTGTCTAAAATGCCACTCCCCCGCCTCCGCATCCCCTGACTTCGCGTTATGTTTTCATAGCACTTGGCATAATAATCGTCGGCATTAGTATTATTTTGTCTGTCTCTCCTAATAGACGATAAACTCTGATGCCAAGAGTGCCCCCACTGCAGCATCCCCAGACTCTGGAATGATGCCTGGCACATAGCAGATGCTCAACACAGATTTTCTGAATGAATGAATGAATGAATGATGAGAAACAAAAATCGGCATCTGCTATGATTCTCCCCACACACACACACCCCTCATTTCTTCCTTCTACTCATCTAAAAACTTTTAAAAATAAAAGTTAAAAAAATAAATACATAAGATAAAAGTAAACTTTTTAATCATAGGCCCCTTTAAGAATATAATAAAAGCTATTAACTCTTTCCTCCCCCAAAATGCACCTGCTTCTCAGCACACAAGTTTAGTAGACAATGTTGGGGGATGAAGGTACCATAAAGTACTTCCTGAGACCTGAGAGCTGCTAAGAGTCCTTTTGCGTCAGGCCAAGAATCCCCGAGAAGAGAGCAAACAGGGACACTGGTGTGGGAAGACTGGGTTCACATCTTGTTTCCTCTCCTTACAGCCTGTGTGACCTTGGGCAAGTTAGATAAAATGAATACTTCAAGGTCATGCAGTTCCATGAAGACAAAAATTTAGGATTATATGACTAGAGCTTCACAATCTGATCTAGCTCTCTGAGTAGCCTGAGTTTTAACGTTGTGGTATAATTAGGGTCATCAAATCCCTAGGCATCCTCAAACACAGCCAGAGGGTGTATGAGGCCCCACGGAAAGGCTCCAGCTCAAGGATCAGAAAATCCTGGGTTCAGATCTGTGGTCCGCCACCAGCCGTTTCCTCGTCTCTGAAATGAGAATATAACATGCATTTTTTTTTTTAGAGTAAGTTTATTGGGGTGACATTAGTTAATAAAATTATATAAGTTTTCAAGTGCACAATTCGATAATACATCATCTGTATATTGCATTGTGAGTTCACCACCCAAAGTCAAATCTTCCTCTGTCACTGTATATTTGACCTCTTTGTGACCTGCATTTTTGTCCAACAAATATTTATTATTCAACAAATATTTATTAAAACCAAGCTCTACCTTGGAAAGTTTATTCAACCTCCATTTATAATAATGAAGGTTTGTTTAAGGAATATTAACTAATGTGTCTACTATGTGCCAGGCTTGTGCAGTAGTACACAAGAGCTATAAGATCTCTCTCATGCAGCTTACATTCTAGTGCTGGAGACAGGATTAAATGAAAAATGCTCCATGTCTGGAATAGGTTAAAAATGCAACAAATATTCGTTTTCTCATAGGGCTTTTTAACATCATGCGGGGCAGTACTGCTCAGTAAAGATTCTATCATGTGCTTGGCACACAATACATGCTCAGGCATGATGTCTATGGTGTTATTGCAAGCTATGCTCAACATTTGCAAAGCCTTGAGTAACCGAGTTTAGAAAACCCAGGAAACCAAAGTCACCAATACAAAGAATAACTAATACTTACTGAACACTTATTTTGTGTCCAAATCTATGCTAAGTACTTTACATAAATTATCTTCCCCACTTCAGTAAATAGCCACTTCATTCCTCAAGTTAAACACTTCGGTCATCTCTGACTCTCTCTCTCTCTCTCTCTCTGTCTCTCTCTCTCTGTCTCTCTCTCTCTCTCTCTCTCTCTCCCTCTCACACATTTTATACTCAATCTATCAACCAACCGATCTTGCCAGCTCTTCCTTCAGGCATATCCAGAATCTGACCTCTTCTTATTTAATCAAAGGTGTTATCTCTCTCTCATCTGGACAATTGCAGGAGCCTCCTAACTGGTCTCCATGCTACCCTGTTTCCTTACAGTCTATTCTCTACAAGGCAGCCAGAGGAATTTTTTTTAAACCTGTCGAATTGTCTTCCTCATCTGCTCAAAATCTTCCAATGGCTCCCACCTCCCTCAGAGTAAATGCCGAAGTCCTTACAGTGGGCTACCAGGTCCTACATACCTTGCCCCCAGCCACCTCTTGGACATCATCTCTTTTACCTGCCCTGTCACTCCAGTTACCTTGGCCTTCTTGCCTTTCCTTAAACATTCCAGGCACACTCCTGCCTCAGGATGTTTGCACATGCTCATTTCTCCGTCTGGAAGAGTTTTCCTGCAGATAGTCCAATGAACTGCTTCCTCGATTCAATCAAAGTTCTGCTCAGAAGTCATCTTATCAGAAAGGCCTTCCCAGATTGCCCTGAAGTAAAATAACTCCTTCCCATTCTGACACTTTATCTTCTTTACTGTGCCTATCTATCTTCATAGCACCTACTACCATCTTCCATATTAAATATTTATTAGTTTATTGTCTGCCTTCCTTTACCAAACACCATGGGGCAGGGACTATGTTTTGTTCACTGGTGTGATCCCAGCACTTGGCACATGATAGACACTCACTGAAAATACATTAATCCCAACCCAAATCTTGTGAGCTAGATACTATTCTCCCCAATTTTCAAGTGAAGAAACTGAGACTCTGAGGTGTGCAGGAAAGTGCCTAAGGTAACAAAGCTTTAGGCAAGTGGTGGACCCAGGCATTCTGAGACTCAAGCTAATTCTTTGAACCTCAAAGCCACACAGACTTTGCTTTAGATAGAACACTATACCATCTCCAAGAGGTCACCCCATCAAGCTCATGCTGATCAAATGCTCTGAATAAGGATCAGCAAGAAAAGGAACAACAATTTAATTTCTGACTTCATTGGGTATGAAAGAAAAATATTTCAAGTCATAGAGTCCTTGAGAATGGACCGAACCATCAAACATATCTTCAGGATACTGAGTTGGCAGTTCCCAGCTTGCGCTGCCCCTCCCTTACTGACTCCAAGGGTATCAGGCTTTTCTGTTCAGGGAGCTGCCCCAAGGCCATGACCAGCCAGCTCTGGATTTGACGTCATCTTCTCTGGCAGCTGGTTATATTTACATTTGTGCTGAAGCCACTAAGGCTCTCTCTTATGCTCTGTTTCCTTAAAACAGAGAGCTAGAGGGTGGGCACCTCAATACTAGGGACAGCTGCCGATGGGGGAGGCATCGGAGAGAGACTGGGGGAGGCTGTCTAGCCAAGGACAGGGCTTGCTTAGGGAAAAGCTTATCTAAGGCATCCTGCCTGCTACTTATACTGTAGTTTCTCCAATTCCTGAACCAGTAAATATTTGCCACTCAAGAGCCTAGTCCTTGGATGTATTTTTCCATGCAGGCTACAGGAGAAGCCAGGGTGTTGTGACCACCACAACTCTCTGCTCAGCATCATTAATTCATTTAATTAGGGTCCCAAATGTGTCATTGGGCTGGGGCAACAAGACAACAGTGACCTTTATGGAACACTCAGCCTAGAGGGAGAGACCAACAAGTAAACAGCTATTACAACCAGTGCGATGAGTTCTACGATAGAGGCAGTACAGCATGGACCTTGGCATCTAGTTCAAGTCCCAGGTCTGCTACTTAGTTATGTAATCATGGGCAAGTCAACTCACTTCATAGAATCTCACCTGTGAATTGAAGTTATTATAAGGGCTTAACAGGATAATAGATATTAGCTAACATTTATTAAGCACTTAGTATGTACTGAGCCTACTCCTTTATTAATTTGGTTATTACAACACTCCTATGAGATAGATACTTTTCTTATCCCCATTTTACAGATGAGGAAACTGAAGCACAAAGAGAGGTTACATCATTTGCCTAAGTTTCACAGCCCTTTAAGTGATGGAGCCAGGATTCAAATCCAGAAAGTCTGGCCTCATAGCTTTCACATTTAACCACTGTGCATTACTGCTTTGATATTTCAAGGGATCTTAGCAGAGTGACTGGCACAAAGTGAGTGCTCAGTAATGGTTAATGATTATTATTGCCATGATCAGGGGAGGAGGTACAAGGCCTACGGAAGCAAAGCAGAGGGGTATTTGACTGGACTTTGGAGGGGCAGTCAGGGAAGGCTCCTATAGGAGGTGATATTTAAATCATGGTCCCTTCCCCCCATATAAATATGAGTGAGTCAAGGACAAGTTTGTGTTGGGAGGGAGAGGAGAAGAGGTTTCCAGTCAGACATCACCACAGAGAAAAGGTATGGGCACTGCATCCAGAATTCCAAACAGAGCCTTAAACCTGGAGGTGAGAGGGGAAGGAGGGAGCAAGAACTTAAAGGGCCCCGTGGGCCATGCTGAGTTAGCATTTTATCCACAGGGTCCGAGAAGCCTTGGTTTTAAGCAAAGAGAGAGGTGATCGGCTTTGCAATTCAGAAATATCCCTGACTGAGGCACACCGAGAGGCTTGCATAGGGGGCTGGGTGTGAGAGTCCATTTCTTTGGGGGCGGGGAGGGGGCTTTCGGTGCAGGCAGAATAGTGTAGCTGTGCACGTTAGAGAACTGGATTTGGATGCGGAGCCTTGTGGGTTGAGTCTCTTGGCCCTAGCCCTCCATACCTGGAGAACCTAGACCAAGCCATTCTCTGAGGCTTCCTTTCTTCATTTATAAATGGGACTCATAACTGCCAATCTGCCAGGGATGTTGTGAGCATAAACCTGGCATGTGACAATTACATAGTGAAGTGTAGCTATTACTTATTTCTACAGTCCCCATCCCAAACTTTCCACCTAGCTAGATTGTCAGTTTTTGGAGGGCAGATCCCA